TATCTCTGAACTCATGATATATGTGATATTCCCACCGAGTGTTGTGGCGTATAATAAATCGTCGTAAACATACATTTAATAAGTCTGCAATTCCTCATCTTGAGATCCGTTTATTCCTCTGTTTACCGTTCCAATTCTCACGAGTAGCAGATAGGTATATTTATATTGTGTCTGTGCCGAAACGTATAAATATTAATATTTTTTTAAACAAAACTAACTCTGGTGTATTCCCCGAGGGCCATTCTATACTATCGAACTCAATCTACGTTTTAATTGTCCGACAAGTTTTGTTTTCTCATTAACTGCATTACATTATGATATATATAATAAATTATAGGATGATTTATTTGCCATTGACCCTTTGTACGTGATGACACTTCGGGAAGTCAATAGATCTCGTCTGATAATAACAGTAACATCCTTCGGGAGCAAGTAGAACAAAAAAGTGGCGCGGTCTGCTGTCTAATTTCAAAACGTCGACAAACGTGCGTGTGAGAGTGTTGATCACATTACGTCCCACAGTTAACGCGAACGTCCACAACGAGACAAGATATTACCATACCGCTCAGACCAATCAATTGTGACGCCGAAAGGTGCGAACATTCCGCTGTTCATGTGTGTGTGTTTAATTTGCTGGTGCAAATCAATTAATTAGTTCGTGCTTTGATATTTAAGCAATATGCAAATGAGACTATAATTACAAGCTATTCAGCCTCCACAGCCACATTCGCGTCAGTAACCGAGTTTCTCCACAATGTATTATATATAGCTATTTACACGCAGTATGTGGTTGTAAATGATGGCGGTGTGAATATATTAATAGATTGTAACTTGGAATAATATTGAACTAATCGAATATATATGTGACGTCACTACGTGGGCGTTCTGGACTCGTATCCCACTGTCACAATAACTCCATGTTTAATGCACGGAAATCGATGGCGTCAACTGCTGGGGGTCATCATTTTTATCTTAATATTTGTTATCATTACGTGCTGATACACACATTAAGTTTTACAGATAACTGGGCGATGATAGACACACATACCAGTCAAATGACTTGCATTCGCTTTGATCTAACCCCAAGATACTGGTTTGGTTTTCGTTGCCGCTGAATTTGGAAGTATATCTTGTCCCGCACTGCTGAACGGTCTTACGAACGTGGAAGATAAATGGCAACTGAATTGTTTTTATTAAAATGAAATTCATTTCCGATCATTTTAGTCGAGACCAGATGTTCCAGTAGAGTGTATAGAATGACGCTGTCAGCAATCACCTGCATTGCTTGCACTTCTAGCGATATAGTTCTTACAGGGACGTACCAGTGATACTAACAATCCGTGTAATGTTAAATGCCGACTTAAAATGCTCTTATTAAACTGAAATTCATTTCCGATCATTTTAGTCGAGACCAGATGTTCCAGTAGAGTGTATAGTATGACTTGTATTGCTTGTATTTCCAGCGATATAGTTCATACAGGGACGTATTAGTTATCAATAGAGCTGCAATGGCCTAAACATTTGCCTGTAGCTTGCATGTCCCAAATCCCCAAGTAAGAGCGGACACATCCTATGAGGTTAGTATGTACTACTGTAGTTATTCGAACTTGCTTAGTCACACACATGGTGTGACTAATACACACTTCACACAGTGCCATCGCCTCACAGTACCTTATCCCACCAATCACAGAACGTGTGACGAAAAACTGTTCTACCAATCAGAGTTCACCTTACGTATGAATACCTTAGAATATCCGACAGTAATACGGATTGTGCGAGATTTGGTTCATCCGATAAAGTAGATCTCACATCATTCCTTGACTGAATTTTGATTATAACTTTAAAACGCGACATATTATACTCGGAATATGAGACTTTCGTAAACTTTAAAATCACATACATATATATTTTGTTTACATTAAATAGAGCATAATTGTCCAAGTATAAAAACATATTTCACACAACTCTCTGTTCATTTGTTTTGTCCTTCAATTAAAACCATTCTCATAATTTGCATGGCGTGGCGTGGACCTAAATGTACATATCTACGAAATAATGACTAAGTACCTTAGAGTGACGTGACATTCAACAAATGTTTGCTCATTCATAAGGAAGTACTTTCTCAATTTTAACTTCTAGTAAAAGAAAATCTCACAGCACTTGTATGTACATACTATTTCCTGTAAAAGTGCAATCAAGAAATAACTCCGCCATAGTGCAATAAACAAGGCGGTATTCACTCTCAACATAGTCAATCACACCGCGTGGTTGGCCAGCCTCTATGACGCTACATCACCAAATTTGGTGTGTAACCTTAATTATTTGTTATCAATAGTATGTTTTTAACAGAAACATGATGTCATACATATAGGTATCTTGTACTGAATGCAGGTCAACCCCATTCTTGGTTACTGTTGATAGCAAAACCCTGAAATAAACGTGTTATCTAAAAACTCTTAACATTCTTACCATTGTTCTCCTCACAGTCATTCACCAGTGAATATTACGCATTGAGCTAATACAGGGAAATCAACAAATGACTTTTTATTGCATGGTTATTTATAGCCATTATACCCCTTACATTGCCAGTACCCGCGATTGTAAAGATTGCGCCGAAAAGAACAAAGAATATGTACAATAGTGCCGCGAGGAAGGTGTGCTATGATCTGTTTAATGATACATTGACTGAGAGTGAGATTTTTCATCTCCTGTTAACGTTAACAGGTTATATCAATCAAACGTTTGTGTACGTTTTCACTCACTGTCGTTAACACTACTTCTAAATGTATTATTATAGTTTATAAGTCGATTTAAATAAAGTTTATTGAACATCCACCGGAACAAATAATAGGTGCATTTAAATCACACAAAATATGGCTATTTTTACACGAGTTTTGATTTCTCAAATGATAATGAATGGATTGCAAACGGATGACGTTTATTAAGCCCATTTAAATGTGTTGACATAGCAATATCACGAAACCTCTACACTTTCCATTCACATAGTCTGTGTCAGAGGTTACATTATAAATTTTATCTTATGTTTCTTAATCATAACGGATGTTTGCGCGTTGGTTTGTACATCACATGAAAGTTAGTTCCATCATCATAGAGCATCGAGTGCATCTATCTGAGAAGAAAAAAAACGACATTTTGGGAGATATTTCCTTCGGCTGTTAAAGTGGACTATCCCACTGTGAAAACACAGGTACGACGATTATATCACGGAACACGATTGACCTCATCATACTGGGAAAACTGTGACCCCTACTCTTGAGGTAGTTAGATTTATCGTAGTTTTTTCGTCATACATAAAGACCGCACACAGAGATAGAAAGTGAGTGTATTAAAATATAGAGAAGTGAGGCGGATTAAGGGAAACGCATCAGGTAAGCTTATCTTTATTGTACTACGCCGTCTTGTGTTATTGGCCGAAAATTGCAATCAATATTTCGAGTGTGAATTATGAAACCAATAATAGTGTTACTTTAAAAGCCGTACGTTAGTTGTCATTTTCTGTGCGTATGCCATGGGGGGAGATGTTTCAAATGTTGGCTGTACGACGACGGTAAGTGTGTCCTTCCGTTTTTCGTAGCATCAGTGTGGAAACGTGGAAACACGTAGAAACATGAATATTAACCCCAACTGGTCACACAAATTGTCAAGTAGTGTTCTCGTCGGTGGGGTAAACAGTTGAAAGTTCAGAACTGGTTAACCACTGGTTAACCAACTGGTTGACAAATAAGTTGACATGTCAAGCATAAAGTATGTATTTGTATTATAGTAATAAGCGCGCTAACACACATATACTGTTGTTACGTTTCCAAATATGACAGGGCGTGTCAGGTACTGAAACGAAAATCTTCATATTCTTTCATCCGTGACTATGTTTTCGAATGGCACAAATACACGTTTCCTTGAAATAATCGTGTGTATACCCTGTGCCTTCTTTAAAATCCGATCGTGCAGATGGAAATCTTTGGAAATAGGTTTGTCTGTATGTTACAATACTCTGATTATCAGTGAAGAAAAAATGCGTGTTATTTACCCCCACTGCGGAGATTAGCATCCACTTATACATACTGAAATGGACTCATAGAGAGTGTGAGATAATTGAACACGTTTCATTACAAAAATATACATTATTCAAGAATCTAAAAAAAATATAATTTGAAAGAGTGTTTCGCAAGAACCAAACAAAGGTAAAGAATCGATATATGGTTGGCCAAGTCCACGTCCTTGATTATTTATGCTGTGTATCTTATTGATAAAACAAATTGAGTATCTATATTTTGTACACGATTGACATGTTTCTGGTGATGACACTGTTATCTCTAGTGTGCAAGTTATCATTTGCATAATGTAAACGTGTAAAAGATAAGCCTAGGCGGATAAGATTTGCTGTTTGCAATATAATCACATTTTCAGTGAAATTGGAAACTAAGATAACCCCAATACAATAATCTCGACAATATTTCATATAGTTGACTGTATGTTTCGGTAGATGCTCTTCAGATAAATGTCGGTGTATGTTCCCATGAGTAACGTGTAGTTAGATACACCGTTATTACCGTTAATCGTATTTCGTTTGTAATTTAACACCTTCACGATGTGTATGCTTTTCTCTGCAAACTAACTGATATCAACATGTTTGGTTATTGTGCTAGGCCTCCCCCGAAGGATCATACCTTTATGATAAACCCTACGCCGACGAATCGATTTCATTTCACACGCACATAAAAAGACGTCATACAATATTTAAACTAGCTGTGTTCTGTTTTTGCTAAACTTATATAAATGACTCTTCGTCTTTATATATGCGTTATATATTACTCTCTTATGTTACAGGTTTTGAGAAGAATGATCCTTCGTATATCATATCGTGTATTTATGTGTTCATTGCTCTACTGGATAGCAATATTGACAGTTGTGAGTGATGCGTACGATCCTTTACAATGCTACAAACACCCAAAGTTGAAATACACCGCATTCAAAGATGGATGCCGTCCACATGCGATGCATGTATCTGGTTGTTATGGAATGTGTGAAACTATGGAGGTAAGTAATATACCCCGAGTGTTCCAACAAGCTTGTTTATTTCAAATTCGATCACGTAACTTGTTACTTTATCGGTGTAGATATCATCATCACATATATCTAATGGGTCGAGTTGTGCTTTCCGATGTAATTTCGACGGACTGTCAGCGATGGGACTTTAAAGCACGCAACCTTGTTTGGTGATACACCGTGGCAATAATTGGAAGTCATACTGGGCGTAGTAACTGCAATAACACTAAGTTTACTGGAGATTCCAACGGCCACTATCGTTGAGTGATGTTGAAAAGGTGCGGAGGTGTTAGTGTGTATATTATACACCCTGGCAACACATGTAAAGTGATAAAGATTATTCTACATTAACTAGCTCGGTTTATCGATTACCATAGGAAAGTCGGGAATTGTGTTTATTTTCCAGGGGGTGAATGAATAGTAGCAGGCATATGATTTATTCCTGTCTCGTAACTCAACTTCTGCTTTTCACAGTATTGGGGAGTTATAAACATTACAACATGTTTTGTGTGATTATCATATCCTGTCAATCATATACATACAACATATGCATGTATCACACTGAGACTCGCTTTGATACCATGAATATATATTTACGATGATTATGCTCTGTATTATAGAACCATTACGAGTAATTGAATATGACTGGTGAATAATAGTAGATCGTTGTCATAACAATATCTTATGTTGTTTTATTTTTTAAGACTTTAACGCTCATTAACATTTGTTGACAGCAAATAGTTTTACTGCATTTGTTATCGATTGAATGCTTTTATAGTTAGTAGTCAATGTGTCCATTTAAATATTTTGGTGTGAGTAAATAAAAGCAATATAACTACCCCTAAAACGCATTTCCTATCCAACAATGTATTGATAGTTTGTTATGTATCAAATGTAACAAATGTAATGTAAATGTAACAAATGTAATGTAAATGTAACAAATGTAATGTAAATGTAACAAATGTAATGTAAATGTAACAAAGTTGGTTACATGGGCATCATTTGTTTGATTTGATCTTTATTAACATTGGGGCTACTCATTAGCATTAATTAACTCATTAGATATAGTACTATTTGTCTTCGATGCTATCGATGATAAGCCATTGATCGTAACGTCTAGCTATTCTGAAAATCTGCTTAGGATAACGATTACCAAATACTTTCTATTATGTATCAACTCCATTGAACATGCAGTTATTAGTTCCGTTTGATACAATTGTATTCACAATAGACGGACGCAATGGAGTGATTTATCAATGTATAAATGTGTATTCGGTTACCATGGAGGTTTTCAATGTGGAGCCGTATACAAAATAATACGAATAACTTAACAAAATGGTTATGATATTTTCTTATTTTATTTATGAAATGTACTAATCCAAAATCCAATATTTCATATTTGTCAGTGTGCGCCAAATGCTAGTTACGTGATTGAATGACGTCAATGTGATTAGCAAAGTTGCAATTAACTTAACCTATGCTTGTCAGATGAATTCAGTTATTGGGATTATCAATGATTGAATAAAATTGTTGCTATTCGGTCAAGGAACAAATTGACGACTCTTTTTCAAATTTTTTGTATCTCTTTTTCCTAAATAACTGAGTAGTTTATTGGCTGAGTAGTAGTGATTTTTGTCAACAAGCTTAATTAGTTTACAACCATATAATGTAATTACTAGAAAGCTAAGGAAATTCTCCACACCTGATTTGTCTTCGATGTATGAATCAAAAAAGGTGTGTTCGAGGTGCTAGGTGATGGGGAGACTTATATATCGCTGCTTACCTAGTTGAGGTAAAACCTCATACTATTGATTTCCATCAGAAGAGCGCATTGGATTGTGGGTAAATCAATGTTTATCAACACAAATGTCGCACATGCGCAGCACGAGGACTGCCGCTCTTTAATTATTCATTTTTAGTATCCGTAAAGGTCGTCACCGCATTTTGAAATTAATGTGATATTCTGGTCACATATTGCAAAACATACAATAACCAACGCCAATGAAAAGTTTTACTTGTACTATACATGTATTTCTGACAATATCAAGGATTTTAAAAATGTGGTTATGCAAGTGTATGATGTGCGATGAAGATCTCACACGAATTGAAGAAGCCACGCGAGATTTTGCAAAATTTCAAGGCAATCAACATTTCTAGATAACTATTGATGCAAATTAGTGAGTTCGTGAAATAACTGACTGGTTGTCTTCATGTTGTTTGGGGGTACTGATACAAAATCTGTGTAATACCTGCATTTTGCGTCTCTGAATGTATCGATATATTGCGCCCATTTCTCTTTACGCAGTCGAACCTTTCTTAGCATTCACTGCGTTCCTGGCCGCTATTTGTAAGAAATACGTTAGATTGGCGCGCAATCAATGGAATCGCTTTCTACGCTCGCAAACGCCGAAGTTCGCTTCCTGTGGAATCATTTATCGCGTATTCGTTGTGTTTACAACGTATGCAAAATAAGCATAGTGCCTAGTGAAAATACAAGCAAAGAACCCGAATATCCCACATTTTTTCACCGGGTTAAATATGTAAACAATATGAAATATTATTTGGAAGGATTTATCAACTACTAAAATAAAAACATAAATCAACATCCGGTTATAATAATGCCTCTCTTCTTAAACAAAGCCATTGTTTTTTTAGGATTAGATTTACTAATAAAAAGTCACGTAGTTTTAAAGTCACTGGTTTCTATGATCGTACATTCGTTGAACATCGCTTACACTCTGACTCGATCAATTTTACATTTCCTGTGAGGGGCTTCTTTTAAAACAAATATTCTCAAGGAGGCCAACCGTTGAATGTCATACATGGGTGTATTTCCTCCTCAATGAGTCAAAGTTCGCTCGAAAACACAAAATGATTGTGCAAAATTAAACGACATACTCGGAGTCTTATACTGACGTAACTGATTTGCTATATTCCTAACAGCCTAATAAAAAAGATGAGGAGATAAACAAATCCGTGACTAACTAGTACTAACATTGAACGCAATAAATAATAGAGAACAAATAAAAAGACTGGATACTCGAACTTGTTTCCATGGACACTGACTAATAATAATAATAATAACGTTACTATTTTTTTTATTTTTTTCTAGGTTCCAACTTTATCTCCACCCTACAAAGAACCATTGCATTCTACATGTAATTACGATGAATTCGAGTTTCAGACAGAACAACTGCCAGACTGCGATCCTGGCGTAGACCCTACGTATATCTACATAAACGCTGTTTCTTGTGTGTGTAGTGTGCCCTCTTACGATACGACCAGTTACTACTTTCGTTACTTTCTTCCTCATAATGACAAGCGATAACAATCGGAGATCGACCCTGAATTAAAGATATGTAGATGTATTTTTGTTTATTTCGTCACATCTGAAAGCAGGGAAATAAGCTGCCAGTGCGTCCCATGACGTGGCTCATTCATGGGTAATACGTCACCACTAAACACGAATTCGTCGTCGGTGGAATTATGAGGTCTGCGGAGTGATAAGAATAAAGAACATGAATAACTATTCTGCGTGATGTAAAATATGTTTTCTGTACTTTTCAGCAATTAATGGAGCTTTTTGTGTATATTAAAATCATATATAAACACTTAAACATAGTGTTTGCAAAAAACGTACGTTCAAACTATTCCATGTGGTTTATATATACTTTGGACTATTAAAGTCGATGTCGAAGCTATGTTTACATGTACATTTTTAAAACGAGTAGATCGTATGGAAGAAGTGCCAATGAACTTATAGGGACACTGAGACTGTTGTGTTATTTATTATATTTCTATTTATTTTAAACATTTTTAGAGGGTACTGCGCATGTGATGATATCCAAAGTACAAGTAGTTACGAACATAGCTGTTCATAAAGACAAACACCGAATGCGAATTCATTTGAATAAAATATTATTGCAGCAATGTTTATTTCAGTTTTACGAGGTCTTTGTCTTAGTGATTTGGGTGTTAATGCACACTATTTGTGCTTGTGTAGTGCATATCGTATGTTACCAGGAGACATAACATGGATGAGATGGGCTCGCGATGATGGTGATGGCGCCACTTGTGTACGAACCCCACTGTACTTGAAGGTACTCAAGTTCACAACACACGCCGTAGTCCGCGTCAATCCTACACGGCGTCTGTCACGCAGAGCACAATTATAATTGTTCACAAATCTCGAATATCCTATATAATCTATAGATGTCGCATCATCGAAATCAAGGGTCGACTCGTTTTTAAACCCAGCCACGATGACGTCATCAGGTGATAGATTAAAGTAGTTACAACAAAAGTAGTTACAATACATATCATATACATCCATTTCGACCATGAACTCGTGTGATGTCATCATGAACAAACTATAATAAAATTCCACTAACTATAATCCCCATGACGTCATAATTCCGTTCCCGTTTTTGTGTGCAGTTGTGTCATGTGATCAGATACATGACGTCATTATAGACCAGGCGATGAGCGCGCTGACGGGAAATTTGCCATTGTGTGGAATAGCAGACAAAGTTTAACGTGAAAAATACATTCTTTGCGTTAATAACATTGTGAAATATTAAATCAAATTATGATGTAATTGAGTTGTTTAGTACAGAAGCGATGAACCCGGGTTAATAATTTGTCTAAGTGTAAAGTAGAGCAATCGAATCCTATCCAATCCAATCCGATGGATATTGCCTAACTCCACAAAGCAGTCACGATATTTCGCCGAAATTCGCATTATGGAGATGCGCCAACCTTACCGGGTCAGTAGTTGTATTTCAAATAATGCAAGTCTGGCATGACAGTAGCACGTCTCTGTTTTCATCTGTTTTAATTATTATTAACACCGGTATTTCTAAATCGCTCTCATAATTCCGTTAATGATATTAAATCCCTAAGTAGCAGAAAATTGGTGATTTATGTGATGAATGGATTAAGGGAATCAGGCGAGTTGTTCTTAGGTATCTATATCTTAATATTTAACGCCAACACAGAACACTAATGTTTCTCTGGAGAGGCTTCCGAGTTTAGAAGTAATCTCGGTAAATCATCATTACCAGTTCATAAAGAAGGATATATGCTCACGTTTGACGCCAGCTTTTGCGTTTCCTAAAGCGTTATTTGGGCATTAGATATTTTCCCAAATTCGGAAGTCATCCAGAAGCATGGGCGTGAGATAATAGTTTGGCCATCTGTCAACCTATTACGCAATGCTAATTTCGACTTAGCGTGTTTCCAGGCGATGTTCAATCATTATGTTTAGGGAAAGTATTGACTCATTGGATTCAATGACGTTGAACTCACGTGGAGTTGTCCTCTCGCGTGATACCACAGAACAACAGCCCTCTGATTGGAGGCTAAAAGGAGGTCCGACCAATGATACGTCAGATTGGAGATTGTGATTGACAGATCTCGGCAGGTAGATACCCCACCACGCATCGCACACTTATGTGTATAAACAAAAGAAGAAAAACAACGACGTTGAAAGGGCGGCATGAAATTGTCGAAGTTATCTTTCAAGTTTCTCTGATCAACTGATGGTTATTTGCGTTTTTCACTGAAGAGGACTCGAACGGGAACGCAATTACACATAAGCCACATCTTGGGAGGCATTAGTGATCTTCCATTCAGGTACTCGTTAGCTGATATTACACCGCTAGCAGGTAAGTCTGACTATCCAACTACCTGGCCGACTGAATGGCTGTGGCTTCGAATAATTATTTGGTCGTGTAAAATACACGAGTAGTCACCGAACGTAACCCCGCTTGTAGGTATCCCCACAGAGTAGAGCTTAGTCAGTTACCGTGTGGCGTTATAACGTGCTGCCTGATAACCATGATACAAGGGACAGTAAGCTAGGGACGTTAAACAATTTTAACGTCATCATTACTTCGCCGCGTTCTGCCACATATCACCACGGTGATTTAAGTTATGTTCGAGTGTATAGTTGAATCAAACGATTATTATTTTTAATACTCAAATACATTGTTGATGTTGTCCATTCAGATCCACGATAGTCTAATGTAGATATCTGTATACCAATTCGGCAAATGATGACACTTAAATGAAGGTGATAATTTTACAATCCAGGATTGTGTTCACCACGTTTTAAGGATTATTCCTCCATTTAACACTATGTGACATTGTCTGTAATTAAGATAAAGCGACAAAACTGGTATGTATTACGATAATTGTGAGTGTGAGAATTGGGAGGAGGTGTAATGACTAGTGTGCCACGTTGTTTATTATGTATTTGTGGTGTGATGGGCAACTATTTGAGTGTCTATTATAAACAGAATGTCTCCAGTTAAACAGTCGTCGTCGGGCATCCTGTGTATATACATGGCTGGTGAATAGATCAATGGAGGAGACTGTCACGGGGACGGAGTTGTTTTTAGATGAGACACGTTGTCGTGGACGCCCAGAATTAGCGCAATGTGATTTGTGGCTGTAACATTCCAGTCAGTTGTAGTGATACACAAAGAAAGACGAATTAAAATTCCACCAAATAATTGCGTGATAAACCATTGGAAGCGACTTGAATCACGTATCTTTGGAGTGGCAGCCCAGATGTAAAGTGATTTAAAACGTGAATACTGAATTACCGGATTTCTGTCGTTTTAATGGGCTAAATGCGGCTATAATGGTTTGCTCATGGCGCTCCAGTCTTGGCCGTTATGTTAGCGCTAGTACATCACCTATGGGTGAAAATCAGATGAAATATGATACACAGTAAATTGGGGGAGGGGGTTAAACGTTAAAATAAAATGCTACATTGGCATATACGGAGGTTAATTTTCCCATTGTGCGAATTTGCTCCCGGCATTAACCATCAATAATGGTATGATTTGTGTGAACTAATGTTTATTATGTTGTTAATTTCTACCTGTTACGTCATTTCGTAACAGACGTTACTACATTCGTGTCGTTGAATTATTAACATGTCATTGAGTAAAGGTGCATTTAGTTTCATAAAAAAGTGCAATTGCTATTCATTCGACTACTATTACATAGCAAATTAGCGACAATGCAAACTCCATGTGTATACAAGTGGCCTGTTTCCATGGTGATCTGAACATAATGAAAGGTTGTATTTATGGCTGAGATATCTCACGGGTTATTATCAGTACCACTAGACTATTCACACCCATAAGGCACATCTCCCAATATACCTCCTTATTCCAGGTCTTGATATATGTAGTTTATGTACATGCATAACAATATATGTGACTTCTGCCTTGTGTTATCCGCCGTATAGTCGTTCTTTACGCATAACCCGCAATTATCCAAGACTGTATGTATACTATTTGTACACAAATGTAGCCTGTTCTCGTTTTGTCAGCTTGTATGCTTGAAGCGAGCTGTGAATCTTTCTCTTGAGCCTGTTCGGCGCTTTTCAAATATGGTTCTTGGATTTCCCAGCACAGTTCAGGAGTCTTGTACTTGTAACGACATTTCAAAGTCATCTATGTCCAAAGCAATTAATTCGAGAATTTCAGTCGAACGGTTTCACCTTGACTCCCAATTTCGCCATTGAATAAACACAGCATTATATTTCAGTCATTAAACTCAATAGTTACCAAAAATCGGAATATCAATGCTCTATGTGGTATCAAGTAGACTACTACTCCTCGGCGCGCTAATGGTCCGGGAGAACCCTGGTAGTATATGACTTCAATCTTGTACTAATATGAAATCATTCATTAGCTAGATGGACTATAACTCTAATATAATGAGATGGCAATAATATTTTGAACTGTTACGTTCCTTGTGTGTGTGTGTATGTGTATGTGTGTCGAACACGATAGCATATATTCTGACTATGTGCTTACCGATTGCATATGTAGTGTCAACATATATAGGGATGTTATTATAAGACAGCCATACACTATCGTATAGAACTATCTCAACCAGTTTGTGACCGTAGTCCATGTATGTCACAACACGTCACGCAAACACACGTCACGGTACTAAACTTTACGCGGCGTCTTCTATTATAGCTTAACGATGAAGTCACACAATGATACATTAACTCAATCAGGTCTTGACTGTCGTATATTCACTGTATACGTACGTCACGACACGCCAGGCCAACGCATACAAGCCACGTTATTAAAACGTATGTAGCACCTCAGATATTAGCACAGAGAAATAATAATTTTGAAAATGTTATATTTTTTTTTCTGGTTTGTTTTTCTGTTCACTAAGAAACGAAGTGTGACAAATTGGGCTCGCTTTTGTCAACCGTACTTGGAGTTTGTACTGACAAATTTCGTTCGGTATAAATATGTACACGTGTTTTGGGCTTCGTTTCTATTGTTTACTTAACAATTCCTATTAAGTTATAGCAGGTGGTTGACGTTACACTGCATCATCAGCTTATTAATATGTATGACTGAAATGCGAACGTGAATAGTTAGGAAAACCCGACCACTGAAATCCAATCGTTGGTACAAATAGTTCGTCTTTAAGTTAGGAATTGCAAGTGCGAATCTACAGGGGCATTTACTGTAGTAGATTTACTTCGAAATTCTGTAGTTTCTGAAATTATATTAATTGAAAGATGAGTCACGACCCTATATATATCGGCTCTTGGGCACTAGTGCATTATCTAGATGCAATCGTAAAGATAATATCCCCGTGTATGGCTGTTCTCTACCAGCACAGTGAACTAGTTCATGACAGTGATATTTGCACAGTGTACGTCACGACACGTCACGCCAACGTATATACGTCACGGTTTTAAAACCTAGTGACGTCTTCTCTACACAGTGATCAAGTTACACAGTGTTTCACTAACTCAACCAGTTCAAGATCGTAATATTTGCACTGTAGACGTCACAACACGTCACGCCATCGCATACACGTCATGGCGTTAAAACGCGCGCGACGTCTTTTCCGCACAGTGATAAATCCACGCAATGACACACTTATATATACATAATCCGTATATGTGTTATAGTCCCGGGTTGAAGCTGACAGACATGTCTGCTAGATGTCTATTTTATTCACACCTTAGTCGGCTTGCTGCAATCCATCACGATCACACAACATCGAATACTCCCAACAATGCGGCGTCCGTTTGCAGCATAACCTCTTACACACGTAGTTTACCTGTGTTTCAGACGAGCATATCAGAAGAAAACAACGAAATTAAATTCTGGCGTTTTCTTGTTCAAAATTATTCTAAATGCTACAAGCGAAGAGCTTTCTATTCATTGCATCGTATATAATTTTAAATCCAATAATAACAACCATAAATAACCGTAATATAACTAAGTAATCGTCTATTTTAAACTCAACTCCCACTGGTTTATATGGCTTGAAGCAATTTGATTTAAAATTTAAAGTTGCCAATGGTATTGCACATCACACAAGAGATGACTGAAGACAATTCCGTCGAACCACACAATGATTGGATATAACAGTCAGTTTAAAATAATGTCTAGTTTAGTAGAGTGTACAATCATGTAATAAAACTCAGTAAAATAAAAGAGGTCGGTGTAGCATCTGTACAAGATACTATAAAATCACGTAATATAAATGAGATGATTACCCACTGATTTTTAAAATATTTGTTTCCAGAATGTCCTGCTCCTTTCAGCTCCATTTCATACTTAACATAAATAAGCGTTGGCGCCACGAAGAATAACAAAAAAACATAACATCTGGGGGTCGAGTCAGCAAAATAAAAATTGTTTTATTATTATTACATGACTTAATTTTTTGATTAGCGCCACCATTGTAGTATTCAACATGGAATTGTGTTTGTACGATGTGATTTCAGGCTTTTCCTTCTGTCTTTGCCTGGGACATTATAATTATTGTATGTAAATATAAGTACATTTGTGAAATAATTGCTCTTTCCCACTCATCTTTTTTTACGCACGAGTACGTCTTAGTTAATGTAATGAATCGACTATATTTACTTCATATCATTTCTTTCATTATCTTTCGACTTGTAAATAAATGAAATAAAATTAACTTAGCTCTTCAAAACACGTACAACTTGTGGGCATTTACGTGTTTATAATCTTCAAATATATAATTGGTCTAATCTTGCAATAATTTCAGTCAATGAAATGCTAATCTTTTTTTTTTCATATTTGCACACATAACATATACAATGTAAGTCAATAATAATAAGCAAAGCTGGATTATGTGCGGTTACAATAATCTTCGTGTCATTGACTGGTTTGCAAGTAATGCAATGCTGCAATGATAGATATGTAAATTAGTTTTGCTTTCGGGCTCTCAGTATCCTTACACCTCGTATGCCGGAAAGCTGATTTCATCCATGATGTGATTTCGTTCTAGTGTCATCGGCTTCTGGGGACGAAAGCAAATCCATCCCAATCCGTTGCGCAACACGCTTCTGCAATTTCATTACAACAAAATGAAATATCTCTGTGATTTACATGAATTCAACTGTATCGAAGCACTGCTTGCCATTCTTTTGTTTAGCGGCACCAATGGCAATGTTAACTACAAAGCAGATTATCGGCACATACTAGTAATTCTATAGCCTCTTTTTTTAATAATATTTATTCACAAACTGAACGCCCACTGTCATTATTGAGACGGGCAAGAAGGCACGCTCCTTATTGTTTGTCGAATAGCCCGACTGAACAGTTATACTCGAGTAAGTCTCCGTGGCGCCTTGTTATCACAGCCGAAATCACGGGGACGGGAAGTCTTATAGGTGCGCGCATCACTGCTTAATACGATGTGCACGACGGATGTTACGGACGTTGGCGTAAGCTAAAAAGCTTTACACAAAATGCATAATGTAATTTTGTTAAGTTTTACGTATGGAATACTTTATGCTGACGTTCATAGCTAAATGCTTTTATCTCTAATGTCATCGTCTAATTTCACATCACGTTATGTTCATGTTATTGATTAGGACTGCAACGTACCCTGTAACGTATTCATCCGTCCTCGTGGGAGAGCTTTTGGTATAACCTTTAAATGTTAGTATTGTTGACCTAGCGTCAGTTTGCGGTTGAAGAATACTTGACTCACGCTTTTCAATTATACGTATTAACGATCCCCTGTTCTGATATATGGTGACGATCCCCGCTCTGCTACGTTTGTACTAACGCGACGTGTGGGTCGCACGTGGTTATGAAGCGACGAACTAAATAAGAAGAAGACCAAACTGTGTCAAAGATACCGTGCAAGAGCACGTGATGACATGTGTATGAAATACGGTTGCTTCATTAACTTGTCACCAAAGGCAGTGTAAAATGTTATACCCAAAAGCGAACGCGTTGTCATGAAATGTCGCAGTTATAGTGACTGAATGACGCAAGTTACCTCGGGTCCTATGGTGAAAGCTAAGGGGAGTGGGCTGAACATGATTGCTACTCTGTGGAGAGGGTAATTATACTGTCGACGGAATATTAACAGGGGAGGATTTTCCAAACACACTAATAAATATAGGGATTGATAGAAGCAACGGAAATTAAATACGCCCAGGGACAATTGTACTAGAGCTTAGAGCGTGTATATACATTAGATGGAATTCAGAAAAAAGAATTTCTCGATATAATAAGGTTACAGTAATGAAATGAGTCTACTTTGAAATATTAGCTTCATCTTATATGTATGTCGCAGTAACTATGGTATTATAGTTGTTGCTTACAGGTTAGGGGACATCCTAGTGTATAATTCTCGCTCATAGTAGCAGGGTATCAGAACGTAAACGAAATAGTATTTTCACGATTCTTTCTACATTTTTTTCAGATTTTAGAATGAGTCAGCAAAAGTCAGCCACGAACCACATGTCTGCAGTTGTACTAGTAGTGGGATTGGCGGTGGTTGTGCAGGCGACGTTGAATGTCAACCCATCCACGACGACCAGGTGTCTTGTTAGAGAGTACAACAAATACATTGCTGTGAAATCAGGTTGTGAGCCCCAACGCATCACGATAGACGCATGCTGGGGGAGATGTCAGACATTTGAGGTACGTAGCACATCGGTTATGTTCTCCCATGCCTTTCACCTCGACTACTCGCTCACACGTGGGCATACGATTTATTAAATGTCATTGGTGTATTACAGACGTCACGGTCCTGTAAACACACCATAAAAAATGCGTAAACAGATTTTTTACTGGCGACAGAAATTAATGGATAGTTTTAATTTGGATCGCAAGTACTACTACATTCAATTTTCTTTTTTGTTTAAAGTTGCTTTTTTTATTTTTAAATTTTCATAGCTCTCTAGAGTTAGATCAATACTACAACATGTGTGTTTGTTTTCCACAAACCGATATGCCAACAATTCCAGAATAGAAATATTGACACGTTTATCAACTCACCAAATAACCTATCATGAAAATCATCACCATTTGTGTAGGTACTATAATTTCATTGACTGAAAATTTAGTATTTTTGGAATGTTTTAATGTTGCACCCAGTTCTAAATAGAATTTCATCGTCTGTAAATATTGTATTTTTTGGAATGTTTTAATTTGCACCCAATTCTATATAGAATTTCATCGACTGGAAATATTGTATTTTTTGGAATGTTTTAATTTGCACCCAGTTCTATATAGAATTTCATTGACTGAAAATATTTCATTTTTTGGAATGTTTTTACGAGCAACAATTGCAACCAGCTTTACATTGAATTTGATTGACGGGAAATATTGTATACTTTGTAATGTTTTAATATGCTACAATATCTATGTTGTCATCCAAAGAAACATGTATCCATAATTCCATCAACAAATTAAATTGCCACGATTCATATTTTATTAACAAACTATTTCGACGACTGCATAGCACAAATCAGTAGACGTTATTGCATTTGATTTTAAATTAGCGCAATCAGACAAATTAGCGAAAATTGGTGAATAATTAAACCTGTTACAACGTACAAATTGACCAACAGACAAATCAATCCGCATTGTACATTTACCACATTGATCTCTATATATCATCCACCCTCACTAAAAAAAAGATGTGTGCCCGAAAAACAAAAATGAAATATAATAGCGATTTAATTTCCGAGAATGCTCACGTGGCGTGTCTTCAGGAAGCTGTACACTATTCTATATCCCCGTATGACGTCACGTCGTGAATTGCAGCTAACAATTAAAACGACTTTTTCGAAACGTGATAGGCCATTTGTTAATGCACGAGAAATTGTACGGATGACTGACATGCAATAAAAATAAATAAAAAAAGAGACCAATAAATTGATGAGTAATACTTTGTAGAAATTCGAAAATTGCAATGTGTCGACTAATGGATCGTGTACAATGATAAAGTTTAGTAGGACGTAAGACATGCGTATATTTTATCCCCTCAGATACGCATGGTTGCTCCTATAATCAAACCAATTTATTATAAGTAAAATTTCCCAATTGAAAGGAAATTACTGTAACGGTTAATGAACTCAATCAGGCTGTCTACAAATTGCGTTTAATGGCGCCCAGTAACACTTGTTAACGTCCATGTTTTGTTGTTCTTTTGTTTACAGGTACCGGATTTGCTGCCACCGTACACAGCAGCCAATCACACCATGTGCCAATATGACGTCACGGAATGGCGTACAGTTGAACTCAGTGATTGTAACCCGGGCGTCAATAGAACGTTTGTGTATTTAAACGCATTAAGTTGTTCCTGTACGAAATGTTCGACCAAACAATCAGATTGTGGATATGGAGGCTAAGTCGGGAACACGTTGCAGACAATTTAATGAGATTTATGTGGAAGATATGATGACATTGCCTCTGAACAATCCAATCCAATACTACACTAGACATCGACTGGTGTTCAAAATTAATATTTTGCCCCATCAATGACATCCCCAAACAATGGTTAATTGAAACATAATACTGAAGTATGGTTTTATCGGCCATCATGTCAAATTGTGCTCAGTATTAAAGCGGAGTGGTCGTAACCTGCGCAAGCGCGGGAATTGAGTCCCAAGCGACGATAACAACACACGCTAAAACGCAAAGGCTTATTGGTAAACGCGTGTTTGTAACAATGATACGCTGTGCCCGTCTGCCGCATGCGCAGGTGATGACTCCCCCGCTTGAAGGGTTTAGTATACAGTCTTTATGGTCATTTGTATGAAATCGTAGATGGTCGTTTTCACAACTAAGCTCAGTCGAATCGACAAGCATTCCCTTTTAACACCTGATGGGTGGCAAAATTAGACTGTCAAACATAACACTCGATTGACCATCTATGTTTGCCACTCGGCTTGTACAAACTATGCTGTATATATCTCAAATTCTGCACATATTATATTTTGAAATTTAGTATTGTGCTTAAACCATCTTGAATTAATCAATGGACGTTCTCGAATTTCCGTGCTCATATGCTGCCTCGACATGGTAGCCTGGTGTACCAGCCTGAGTATTGCAACAATTAATTAAGCTACGCATACACACAGCTTCAATTTGATTGGACAAAATCCCCCAATTTGAAAGGCTGTGGCACAAATTAGTTAAATCATGCTCACTTCATGGTTACGGTATATAAACCACGTTGTTTATATGCAGTAACTGTCACAAGTGACCATGAATTATTTAGTGTATAAGCAGGGGTTCGCCGCCACTGGTGAGCTATTCGTGGACACATTAAGCACATGTATTGTTACACATACGTACTTTCGATTTCGAACACACTGTTATAAACGAGATTAGCTGTCAATATTCATTATAATCCCCTGTGACCGTCCGTCATTGTTTGTAAATATTTAATACACTTTTTGGAAATGATACAATCCCAATTTTAAATGCCTAACTCGTTGATTTTGTCACAGAAATGAATAAAAATCATACCTAATCAAACCAAACGCTGCATGTACAAGGGAACGTCACAGAGATTCTCGTGCATTCCCCGCACCGGTGACGGTGAGCACAACCTTATTTTGAACCAGCAATGGATTTGACCTAACATTTAATGCTTTAATAAGAAATGTCAACTGTTTCATGTACAGTCACCTTGAGCTTTGCTAACTCTCTTCTTCTTACAAATGTATTTATTCAAATGTTATTTTTGTACCTGTATTAATACGTGTTGTTATTTCACTAAAACATTCAAATTCACCAATGTGTTATTGTGGCTGCTTGGTTAAACTATCGATACTCATAATCTAGTTCAGTAGATCAATATATGAGCTAGGGAACACGTTGAAACTAAATGGATTACGTGCTTGCTCTGGGCAAACTTGACCCTGTCATTTGCACTAGTTATTTATTATAGTTTGTGGGACTTTAACCAGTATATTAAATATTGACCTCAAGTTTACTTCGTTATATCCTCGTACAAGGACATAACCTCTCTACAGAGTCTTTCATACTTGCAATTTACCTAGTCATGTGATTTTAGCTTGGCGTTGATTGTGGGATAGGTGTGTAATTTACATTTTCGAAGCAGATCGTGGAATGATTCACGATTCAGCACACATACCTCTATGGCGTGGTTGTTTCGTAGGATAGTTATTCCACTCGCGACACTAACTCACTAAAGCCACGCGTGCACTCAACATGTTTGATGATGAAGGAGGGATATACACTGAAAGCTTCTGAGCTTTTTGATTTAGTGTCACGTGGTGTGAAGTGTAGAGGATTATGGGAGCCAAAACGAACACATTAGCGTAGAGTAGGTACGTGAGGAATACAGCGTAATAATTAGTATGATTTGTGGAGTTATAATAACAATAAGGTCAAGCTCTTTACTTTATGTATAACTACTTGATAGAAATGTGAATGTCGCTAAAAATCCACTATATTGCAATAAAAAGTGTAATATTGTACTTCATATTTGATAGTTGTTTACTGACAGTTTTCATTTGCCCTCATGTAAAACCTATACAAATGGCAACGTGATGTCAGAAGGGATTGGAGTGTTTGATGGATTGCTACTGTTAGGCTATTCAGCCCAGCTCACGATCGATGTGCAAACGAACATCGTCTGATTCTTCGAAGCTGCACTCCGAGAAAGGACAGCTTTCTTAAAGCTTTCTCACCTGCACCTGACATATAAAATACGTGTTACAATGGAGTTGGTGGGGTTTCCGAACCCCGTCGTGGAAAGTGAGCTAACCAACGTGTATTGGTTTCCACTTGGCATTGCTATGAGGGAATCGTGTGTTTTTTTCTATTTTTTTCATGTCAGGTATAGATGAACTGTTAAAAAGGTAGTACACAACACAGCAAGATACGGCATACGTTTTGAGGCTTTGCCACATGTAAATTCCGGATCGGTCACTTTTTGCAGAGTACATTTGAACTGAGCCACTGCTCACATCTCGATGATGATGGCACGTTTTACCCCCGCACTACAGGAAACTAGCAGATGTTATACCTGTCACTTACATGCGTTGTATAGAATATCGATTTCAAATTACCCCAACTAAATCGCGTTATATGAGAAACGTCCGGTTAATTTAAATTTTATAAAACAGGATCGTATTTATTTTTATTAATGTACAGGCCACCTGCCTATGGTTTTAAATCCAAATTGCCGATAAAAACCCACAAGAAGGTTTTTTGCCTTGTCGCTTTATAATAAATCGATAAAGGATTTCTTCATATTTTGGCACGGTGCAAACAGTATGAACATATTTACATTGCCGGAAACCATTTAAATAACCAATATTGTTACCGAAGATGTCTGGATATGATGTTACAAAGTCGGTTCATATTTCCGCGAAAACAGTGACGAGATTACGGTTTTACAACTTCCAAGATATTGATATATTAGAAAAGCCGCAAATCAATCTTTTTCTGTCAGTATAGCCATGTATCACCGCTCTTTCTTGAACACGCATAAATTTAGCTGTCTTTCTGAGAGATAATCACACTCTATACAACAGAAGATTTTGCACATCTGTCTTATAGTATCAGGTCACATAATTACGACAGATTGCAACACCATATAAACTACATAGATGTATATGAAGAGAGAAAGACAATGCGTGATATGGTAACATGACTTAGACATGACAGTCAGTTCATTGCTCACATATTACACATCTGATCATCAATATACTGTCACTATCACTGAATATTGACGCAATCATACATGACAGGGAGATGATTTAAGAATACTTTTCGACTGGGTCCATGAAATGAAAATCTAATGTATCCTGTTTCACTGTCTCATCCAATGAATGTACAGTATTCACGTTCTTCCGCTGTCGTATTTCCATAAAACTGTCGTTTCTATACCAAGATGAAGATGGATTTCTGTTTTTGTTCGCCGCCTTGGAATGTGTTTTCGTCTCATTCCTAAACGCGCGATTTACTTTTGGGGGCTCTAGAAATGTATTAAAGAAAAAAAAGGCATGAAGAATAAGTTAATATCATCGAGAGTTACTACTTAGGAGGTATGAAGTGCTTGTATTGAAATAGATAAAAAAAAGCATGACCAATAGTTTTGGTTTTTGCTTTGATTTGTGTTTGTAAAATGAGTAAGGCCCCCCCCCCCCAGGAGACAACTTTTTACATACAATAAACCCGTAGTCTCAGTTTACAAGTTCAAGTCACGGCACAAACTGTATAAATACACTGCAGACAATCTATTCCATGTTGAACACCTTTAATACTACACTTCTCCAATATAGATTCGTCAGAGAGCAAATTCTCAGCCAGTGGCGATATGCGTCGATTCCCTACTGACCAACCAGGAGACTAGATTTGCAGACACGTCGCTATTTTATGAACGAAAATTGTCATGTTGATTTTTTTTAATTAAGAGTACCAAGGTTAGAATGATTAATATCTCCTAGCCAGAGTTCAAAGTTAATTGTCATTGTTATGCGTTTTGTATAGGATCTCTCATTATATTATTGTAAGAGCGAATGACAAATCGTTCTGTTTTCGAGTTAATTCACTAGTACAGTGTAAAAATGAGAAGAGGATTCAGTGCGTTCATTCATCGACTGCTCACCGTAAAGTTTCTAACTGATCCGCTATATCACACTAACGTGTTAAAAATTAAAAAGGAAAAGATATCCTACTCACTAGTAATTAATTTAACGCCTACGTAGGAATGAATGGGCGCATATCCATAGAATTGTGATGTCAATATTATTATATCCATGTTACCCGCATTTGGACAGGAAGTGTTCACACTCCGGGGGAGTCGCGCAATATACTTTCTGAATAAAGACATATAAAGACAAATTGCATCTTTTGATGTGAGATATGAATTCTCTTGTCATACATAATACCCCTTTGCGTACCAGTATTTAGGCGTCGATAGCACGTCGTCAATGAATGTCCCATCGTGGAACAGTAAAATAGTCGATCCCCGGCTATTGACGCAAGCAGCATAATTTAAGATGACCCCCGGCCCAGTGGGTATCTAATAATTGGTTCGGAGAGAGAAGTAACACTTGTTCTCCCACCAATTATCATTATCTAATGTACATAATTTTGATTATTATCGTTTCCTAGGATATACTGAAGATTAAATATTCTGGAAATTGTTTTTTGTCTTCCTATCATACTTTATATTTAATTGTCGCGCGAATACAATGACGATTTACATATTACTCTATAATACTCCATAATGCTCTTCATTGTGACGATGTTAAATATAACAAAACAGTGTCATCAGTGCCTACTATTAATAGAACAATCACTTCCATCTGTTTTCCAGTAGTGACAAATCTGTTAGGACAATTTCTAACTCATTGGGACTACAAACGTTAGAATGTACATTTCGCCTATAGAGATCGTTACAAATCAAGTGGGCGTATCCGATGTCCTTGTGAATATCATCCACAAAAATACAAGCACGCTTTCAAATTGTGCTAATTTTCTATAAAAAATCAAAGTAGTTTGAATAGAAAAAAGGAAAGGGTCCAGTGATACACTGTTTTTACGCGTATCACTCTCGGACAATGTACTAATATACCCACACACATCGATGATAGAACCCCCAGTTGTACTATTAGTATGTGGTACAATAAGCCATTCATTTAATAATTATGATTTAGATGATTAGTACGCTCAGTCAAATATGCACAAACTAATATGCACATTAACGCCTCCATGCTGATAATTTAATTAAATCAGCGCAAATTATAGATACAATATTGGAGATCAAATATTAAAAGAAGAGTGGCCTTGATGCAGCGACAAATTAAATGTCCGATTTGCACGCTGGCGGTGGTTAAATCCGGACCAATGCAATCATCAATAGCAATCGGAACACGTACGCTAGTTTAATGTTAAAGTACACTAGTTGTAATGAATACCTCGAACCCGATAACATTGAACTTTAAAGGTAAAAATCCACTATTCACACTGCTTCTACTATTGTCACCGCAATGTGCTTTGAATAGACTGCGAAAGTAGCAAATAACCATTTGTAGCAGACTACAACATCAAGAAAATCCTGGAACTACCGCGTGTTCTCAGATACTACACGTAGGTCAATAATAGGATCTAAACTCACTTTCACTCTTCAAACAATCGCGTCACTACCAACCGTTTGTCTGACCCATTATCCCAGGGATTCCCTGAAGGCAAGAAAACGTACTTAATCGTTTACCCGGAAAGTAGGGAAATGCAATTAGACTTCGTCAAAAATTAATGCTAATGTGTTTTTCTCAGCCAACAAGAGATATACGACAGAGGCATGATATTTCATGAACGAACTTTAAATGTGCGTTTGTGACATTACGTTGTGCTTTGCACATGGGAATAGGTTATTTCCAGTCCACAAGGTGACACGTAATATTCATATCATGTATCGCGAAGTACTGACTTTCGGAGACGCAGAAGGTCATAATTTCTGAAATATGCATAGCGTAGCATGACATAACATAACACATCATGGTGTAGCATAGCAGCCCGGGAGCACATCGCCTTTTATAATTGCATAATTCAACTGTGTACAATTTCATAAATGTCATGAACAATTCATCAATGGTCAGTAATAATACATCAAATAGGTTCACTATCATCATATATGCACGTTAACGACTAAAACTCAAACCTCGACTTGGCGTATACATGTCACATTACATCTTACGACTTTATCAACTGAGTTTACATTGAAATCTACAACGCAAATAACGAAGGGCGATGTATTGCGATTATATTCTCCTCTGCCACACAAAGTGTCGCTGAAACATCGATAAACACAAGTCACGACTAAAAGTATGTTTTACTGAGACAACACATACATTTACATGTCAAATGACTAATACCCCATGGAATTACACTAATACTCAGCACTAGCGCCACTTCACATCGCCGCAAAGAATGTATTACCCCGGATATCAGATATTTAGTTGTTGGGGGTGATATTAACAGTAACCGTTAATGATAATAGTTAAAACTGTCGCATTAGATTGAATGTGCTCTATTATCGAACGTGCAATAATGCTTAATGTAATTTGAATAATTATTTTTATCATTATTAAAAATTACGAACAGCTCACCAATTATTTGCGAGTCGTCGTCGCCGACAAGTAACAGATAAGTGCCAGGCGCGATAGCCATAGTTTCAGTTGACCTAAGATGACTGTTCAAGTCTCCATCGCACCACTCTCTCTTTTTCATTTCGGTTGTACAATCTATTTGAGTGTCGAGTCGTCTTAGTGTTTAGTAATCAATTATTCAGGTTCTGTAGAAAAGCTGAGTAACACGTGCAATATTTGATGTGTGAGAGAGAGAGTGTGTATATTATTGTAGTTTAGTTATAGTAGTGTTTTATATTTAGACGAAGTGTATTAATTTATTTACAAAAAATATTTATTAACAAAAATTGGACTGCCATTTCTCGAATTGTGCTAAACATTT